ACAGATCAGAACAAACTATTCTCACTATTAAATGGCTGACACCCCATGCGCCTCGTTTTGATGTCCTTCAGGGAGAATTAAGCATTAATTAGGGGGTCAGTCCTCTCCAAAGCCCCATGTAACTTGCATCCCGAATAAGGGTATACTTTATCACAATACACCACGGTTTACTGTAGTAAAAACTAAAGTATACTTATTTCAGTTTCCACTATTGTTAATAGGCTACTACAGTATGCTAGAGCATTAGCAAAGTGTGGTAAATACTATAATATAACAACACTTTATTATAGTATGGTTCAAACAAAAACTCTGTAGTAACACTATAGTATTAACTAAAAAATGACAATAGACAGAACCTCAAAACACACCCATCCCCCCCCCCCACACACACACACACACACAACACAACACACACACCTTGGGTCTAATAGCCTCCAGGTCTTTGTCAGAAACTGTCCACGGATTGAGTCTCCTGAACTCCTGCAGGTCTCCTCTGCTCTGTTCCTCAGTCAGCCTGAAGGGGGCGACGGAGTCATCATACCTCTGCAAACTAAAACAGAATAAAAGAAGAAGAAAAAAGCCCGCGATTTCTCCAAACAATCATAAATATCGGCGTTTGAGACGGATTATGACCAGGAAACGTAAAGATAAGTTTGATTCCTCCGTGTCTGAGTTTAAAGGACAATGAAGACGGTTAATATTTAGTGATATTATTGATTTAACTGTTTTGACACAAAATGATGAGAACAAAATGTAATCTGAAGTGAACTGGATGGTGACAATGTTTTTGTTAGGTCATTGACTCTGTTATAAAACTGTTCTTTATCAATATTTAACCTATATTCAAAGATTTCACCTAATCTAACCTACTTAACCACCATATGAAACGTTAGTGGTTTAAAAACTCCTTTACATTGAACTTTTAAATTATTTGTTTAACCCTTTAGCCTTTGGTTAATAAAAAAAAGCTAATCTTAAGTTTATAGGGGATAATATCTGTCAAAATGAATAAATAATATTACAAAAATATTGTAAAAGTAACAGATTTCATGTATATTTTAACAGAGTTCTTTACCAGCATCGGTCATTGATGAAAAAATCCCCAAAAGTCATTAGATTTAACCTCTTTAAGCCCAAGCTGGTTTTTTTACATGCATTTTTTATTTCTCTTTGCTTTTTGGGCTTATTGGAACCTAATGAGAATAAAAATCTATGTATCATCTTTTGACATTTTTTTAGAGAAAAAGTATGTCCATATATGTGTTTATATATATAAGGGCTGTGCAATTAATCGAAAATCCGGTTTCGATTTCGATTACGGGTCATAACGATTATGAAAAACCATTATTCGAGATAAACGATTATTCCATCATATACCGCCTCTTTTCCAGTTCCCCGTGAAAGTGACTGAAAGATGTGCTGTAATGTAACTTTTGCAGTTGGTTTTATATTCGCACATTCGTTCATTTAGAAGTCTCTATATTGTTTACCATGTTACTTTGAATATTTGATCGGAATTAGCATGCCAGTATGACTTGAAATCAACATTAACACTGTTTATTTGACCGTGAGCAATGATGTACTTTGATAGTCAGTGGCTGCTAATATGATTTCGCTATTTAGAATTTGCAAAAAATACTTTTATGAAATTATATTATTATGGGGAAAGTCTGAATCTGCTAATATAAAACCAACTTTACCTCTATTGTGTGTGTGTGTGTGTGTGTGTGTGTGTGTGTGTGTGTGTGTGTGTGTGTGTGTGTGCGCGCGTGTGTGCACGCAGTCCTAATGCGAGCACTTTAATGGACAAATACATGCACGGTGTTTAATGATTATTCATATTAATCCTCATTTGTGTAATAAACAAACAAGTTGAGAATCAAAGACACGTGAAAGAGAAACCGTATCGGAGCCACACTATTCTTCAAGTGACAGCGTGCGATATTCCTGCAGCTGTTTTTATTATTAATCAAACAACAAAAGGACAAAATCCACTCACTGCTCTTGACTGAAGGACTTTTTTTCTTACAGTGAAGATGCTTTAAACACAGTTTAAACAGATTTAATAGCTCATTTCTAATAACTGATTTCTTTTATCTTTGCGATGATGACAGCACATTATATTTTATTAGATGTTTTTCAAGATACTAGTATTCAGCTTAAAGTGACATTTAAAGGCTTAATTAGAGTAAACAGCCAAGTCATTATGTAACAGTAGTTTCTTCTGCAGACAATCAAAAATATATATTGCTTAAGGGGGCTAATAATATTGAGCTATTAAAATAGGTTTCAAAATATTTAAACCTGATTTTTTTTCTAGCTGAAATAAAATAAAATAAAAACCTTTCTCCAGAAGAAAAAAATATTAAAGGAAATACTGTAAAAAATTGCTCTGTTAAACATAATTTGGGAAATATTTGTATATAAAAATAAATTCTCAGAAGGGCGAATCATTTTGACTTCAACTGATAATCGTTTTGAATAATCTTGATTACAATTATGACCAAAATAATCGTGATTATGATTTTTCCCATAATCGAGAGCAGCCCGAATATATATATTGACACTGTGTGTCTGTAACAAAATATTAAACACTCAAAGTATTTTATATAGCCACTTAAGAGCTAACATGTGATGTCCACATATGTGGACACTTAAGCCCTGGGAGTTTAGAGGTAAAGTTAATTGTATATTCACACATTCATTTAGTGACAACTTGTGACAGACTTCCTATATTGTTTACCACGGCACTTTGAATATTCAGTCTGAAATAACCTGCAAGTGTGACTTGAAAACAACATTAACACTGTTTATTTGACTGTGAACATGTTGTACTCTGATAGTCATTGGCTGCTAATATGATTTCGCTATTTGGAGTTTGCAAATAATACTTTCATGAAACTATATTATTAAGGAGGAAGTCTGAATGTGCGAATATAAAACCAACTGCACCTCTGTCTAGGAGGATAAGGATTTTAACTAGGGCTGGGCGATTTGGCGTAAAATCTGAATCTCGATTAATTGAACATTTGAACTTGATTATTATTAATGAAGGATCATTTTCTTTTTCTTTTTTGTCTTTTTTTGCCCTCAAAGTTCACAAACAAGTTTTGTACAGTGAATATGCTCACATATTATAAGAGATTTTTGAATGAAGGGCGCATTAACTTGATTTTAAAATAATTGAAGAAAACACTGTCTACTATCTATTTATTGAACATCAACATCGAGCAAGAAGGTTGCTGGTTCGAGCCTCAGCTGGGTCAGTTTGAATTTCTGTATGAAGTTTGCATGTTCCCCCTGTTTTAAAGCACTGTAAAATATTTGCCTGAAAAAAATAAATAAATAAAAAAATAGTTTCGCTATTTTGGAAAAAAAACTTTATTTTTTTTTTCCAGAAGGGTATGCATGTTTTTTAATCTTCTCTATATTTGTAAGATTTTGCTTATTTTTTTTACCTTATTATTTTTTTGACCATAACTTTCTTATTCTGACAGATTTTTTTAGCATCACTGCTTGATGGAAAAACTCCTAAAAGTCATTAGATTTAAGGATTTTAACCCTTTAATTTTTGTTTTTTTTTATTATAAGTTTTTGAAACATATTTCATAAACATATTTTCCATAGGGGTATTTTTTTTTAATTTTACTATAAGCTTGGATAAGACAATGATCAGAAGCACAAATGTGTTGTTTTCATTCAGGGTTCAGGATTTAAGAGAGTTCATGTCACCTTATTTGTAGTGTGTTGTTTAATACTGCGAATCTGCTTTTAAATCTATAGTGGTTTCTGTAATTTGTCAACTTTCAGTTTTGATTATGCGCAATTAAGAGTTTGACTAATAATATTGATGCAGTTTGTAGATTTGTTTACACAAGGATAACGGTGTCTATTTTAATGTGTTATATAAAGGGCGACACGGTGGCTCAGTGGTAAGCACTGTGGCCTCAACGGAAAAAGGTTGCTGGTTTAAGTCCTGGCTGGACCAGATGACATTTCTGTGTGGAGTTAGCATGTTCTCCCTGTATTGGTGTGGAATTTCCTCCAGGTGTTGAGATTTCCTGCTATTTTCTGGATATAAGATAGAGGTAAAGTTGGTTTTATATTCACATATTCGTTCATTTAGCAGTCTCTATATTGTTTACCATGTTACTTTGAATATTCGATCAGAATTAGCATGCAAGTATGACTTGAAAACAACATTAACACTATCTAATTCACTGTGAACAATGCTGTACTTTACTAGTCATTGGCTGCTAATATTATTTTACTATTTAGAGTTTGCAAATAAAACTTTTCTGAAATTATATTATTAAGGGGAAAGTTAATTGCATTAACTAAATTGGCCATAGTGCATGAGTGTGTATGGGTGTTTCCCAGTACTGGGTTGTGGCTGGAAAGGCAGCCGCTGTGTAACACGCATGCTGGAATAGTTGGCAGTTCATTTAGCTGTGAAAACCTCTAAAAACTAAGCCAAAGGAAAATGAATTAATATGCCAGTATAATCTTCTCACTTTTTCGCTAGCGGAGGTTTATCCACATCTGTGATCACGATGATGTCCTCGATCTCCAGCCGGAATCTCTTTAACAGCATCTTCATGCTGAGAAGATAAACATGTTAAGGTTCTGCGCAAGTCTTCTAGATAAAAATATGATGATGAAGATAATGATGATGATTGACTGACTCTTTATGGTCCTCCTGCATGGTCTCTTGATCTCCTAAGACAAACACTCTGATTTTGCTCTTCTTCCAGCGGTTTCTTCGTGTCAGCAAATACGGCACTAGAAGAGTCAGACCTGAAGGAGGAGAGCATTTCAGAAAATGTTTATTTAATGTAAATTATTTTCTTCCTTTAGTATTCAGTACAAACATGTTTTTCATTTGAATTGAGTGTGTTTTTCTGACCCCTTATACATGTTTAAAAATGTGTCTTCTGGTAGAACTGTAGTATATTTTTCATTGATCAAACAGAAACAACTTGTATGACTTTTTATCACTGTTGTTGTTATCTGTGTATTTGTTTGTACACTGAATGATTAAGAAACGGTTATGATTGTAAATTAAATATTGAATATTTATTACAAGTGTTGCCATGAATGTAGCCAATGCTGCTGATATGACATTAAAACATGTATACTAGGGATGGGAAGATTAACCGATATGTATCTACGCGGTCATGCGCGTGCACTATGCGAGTGCATCGGTAGAGCAGCAGAGTATGAATGAAATTTTGGAAGCAAATCGAGATGCATCGGTTTTTGCGAGATGCATCGGTTTTTCCATGATACAACTTATATTTTTAATATAGAATGTATTTTTTATTTATTAACAAGTGTTGTCAACCTGTTTTTGGCACATAATTTAATCGACCTACATAAAGTATGCATTAGCAACGGATTTGCGGATGTGTACACTTACACTACAACTCAGTGTATCAGGTGTGCGGATGAAGCTAGTGGTGCGCCCTCAGAAAGCGCGAGAAGCAAAACAAACATTTTATTCCCCAATGAGTTCTAAACCTAAAGTATGGCAACATTATGGATTCTGCAAAAAGGATGAACGACTTGACAGGACAGATGAAGCGGCGCCTCTGTGTTGTTGTGGAAGCATCTTCCAGTGTTCCTGCATCCCCGGCTTCCTGCACTGCTTCAACTGTAGCTACCAGCTCCAAAAGTGGTGAGAAAAGCATTGAAAGTTTTCTCCATGAGCAACAGTTCTGCTCGCTCTACGCCAATAACGAATGCTATTGCATTGTTCATCTGCAAAGATATTCAGCCTAGTGTCACGGAGAACGAAGGTTTTAGACACCTCCTGTTAATTTTTATTTATTTATATTTTTATTAGCCTGTTGTTTACAGTGACAGTGATGTTTCAAAGCAGCATAACACTGCTAGTTCACCACCTTAAGTTTTGAATATTCAGTGGCACAATATATCTTTGTAAAACTTGTTTTCATAGTTGAAAAGTTAAATCACAATTCTTGTTGTGCAATGCTCAACCTTTATGTTGAAAGAGTGCAAATATATATATTTTAATATATATTGCACTTATACATTCTGTTTATCTTGAAAATACTTAAATAATATGTGCTATATGTTCTAAAATGGCCCTCTACTGTAAACTGACACTCTGGCTCTGAGAGAAAAGCCAGTTTGTAAAAAAAGTCTTGGTTTTACTTGGTAAATAAATAATCAAACTCATTCAATGGCACAGCATCCTTTCTTACATCATCTCATAAACTTGATTTAATTAGTTAGTGCTGAATTATCGCATTGTATCGTGATATGGGTGTAAATCGTATCGTGTTGCATCGCAATATGTCACAAATGTATCGCTAATATATCGGATCGTATTCTTTGTATCGAGATGCGTATCGGATCTATAGCTTAGATGCCCAACCCTAATGTATACATACACTGTAAAAAAATGGCCGTGATTTCAACCGTAAAAAACTGTAAAAATGCTACAATACAAATCCGTAACCTGGTTAACAGTATGTTTCCTTAATATGTATGGCGGATAATCGTAAATTGACCAGAATTCCCAGAATTCCCTGCATGGCACAACACTTTTTATGCATTTGGTTGACATTAATATGGATTTTTTTAGTTGTTTCCGCATCAGTTATGTACATTAGAGATTTATGTTACGTCTAATGTTGATAAACAATGTTTATTTCATGACTTTAATTTTATGTGTGTTACCATACTGATGTTTAGTAGCTGTGCGAATGACACTGAGCATCTTCTCTATGCTGATACTCTTTTCTGCTTGTGGGAAAAGTTGATTGTGATGAGCATTGGCTCATTATGTAACTTCCTTATCTCCACTTGCATGTGGGTGTGCTAACGTGTCTAACTGTTTAACAAAAGATGTATAAATGTTGATCATTCAAAATACAGACATATTACCTCTATAAATTAATAAAATACGGTAATTTACCATAAAAATGAAAAATTACTTTTACGGTTTGTACCGTGTTTTTAACGGTAAAGTACTGGCAACCACAGCTGCTGTTTTTTTACCGTAAATTTTACAGAATTATTTTTTACAGTGTAAGAACGCGCATGCGTAAATAACTTTAGACCCCTTACTGAGCTATTTATCATTTGTCTTGGAAAAAAAAACAAGTCACAGGGCTCGAAATTAACTTTTTTACTTGGTAGCACCGGTGCTCCCAACTTCAAATATTTAGGAGCACCAAAATAAATTTAGGAGCATCCACCAAAAATGATTGAGCACCGCTGCAAATTGCTTTTTAAGGGATTTATTGTATTTTAAAACAACATCAATAGGACTGATAAAAACCAGAAAAAACTATCTAACTAATGCTGCGAAGACATTGATATTTGTGTGCAATAATTCCAAAATGAATGTCTAATAATTATAGAATATTAATGATGATGAAAATGACAATAATAGTAAAAATGAATTACATTTCTCATTATGATACTGCCTTGAATGTGCATGAATGTAGGTTATCTGCTATAAAAAGTCTGTTACTTTATGAAAAATAATTGTATAGTTTGCATCAAACAAAAATGAAGCATTGCAGTAAGAAATATTTATTTTGTACTGCTGTTTTTATATGCATGTCAATTTAATAAATAATATTTCTGCTACAAAACAAACAAAAGATTATAATAAATCATTCAATTCAATGATGAAAGCTGCAAAGCAGTCATCAGTAAATAAATAAAAAATAAAAATAATATACACCTAAAAAAAGAATAGACAAAAGAAAGAAAGTAAAGTCTCACTTCTATCACTCTTTAAAAGATTTGGTTTCAGTTTGTGTCAATTTAAAGGTTCAGTCTGAGATGATCTTCATGTTTCTGTGTTAGTGGAAAGCAGGCGAGTCAGCCGACCCAATTTATGAGCAGGCAGAGCAGGATTCTTGCGATGACCACCGGCACAATACCGCTGTTTGTTATGAGACGCAGTTTCAGTGTAAATTTAGTAAATGCGAGCTTCTTTGGCGATGATATGTACAGTATTAGATTTGACTTTTAGCGGACATTTGCACTGAACACGCAGTGAATGCAACGCATGGAGATTCGGGCGCCTTCTCCATGAAGCGCCTACTCGATTGATCTCAGCTGGTGGATCATTATTCACCACGTGACGTGTCATGATCGCTCTCATCTGCACCTCAATTTTAGGTGGGGTTTGCAAACCTGTGTGCTTTAAGTTTTTACTCTTCTGCCGTTTGCATTTCCCCGTGGTCATAAAAGCTCCTTCCCTGTCATCTGACAGCGGAATACCTTGAGTGATTGACAGCTAATATGAACCAATATAGCGGCAGGAAAGAGCGATTCAGCATGTTTTTACAAAAAATCAAAACAGGTCGCACTACAACCATTATCAGCAGTCGCACTAATGCGCCCAAATATATTATGAGGTCGCATAGATTAATTTTCGGGCGCATATGCGACCAAAATGGTCGCAATTTCGAGCCCTGAGTCATTTATTTCTGGTTTTACCTCCATCATCAGAGATCCAGTAGATGTCGATGGTCTTCCTGCCCTGTTTGGTCTGAAACACTGTTTTGACCTGATCGTTGGAGCCATCGTCAGAAATATCTGGATGAGGAGTCAAAAACAGGTTTATAAAGGTCAGTTTTCAGATCACTTCATCAGCTCAGGCTTTATTCAAACACCACTGATTTATTGATAGTAATAAATAAAAGTTTGTTTTGACATAAGTTTGTATACTGTGTAGGGCTGCACAGCATATGCTTTCAGCATGGAGATCGCAATGTGATCATTCACAGTAGCCGAGTCTCAGGATATGCAATTTGTGGAGTCACATTAGCTGTGTTTCCATCCAAAAATGTGAATGAACTTTATGCGCAAAACTGGATTATCGCATAAAAAATGTGCGAATAAAGCAGCATTTCATAGCGAACAAAATAGTCACTTCCTGATTAACTGGCGCCAAATATCAACAGTAAAAACTGAATTTGCTGCAGTAGGAGAGGCTGCATCAATCTATACTTCATCTAATAAATGACTGACACGCCGTGAACGCACTTTGGCCTTTGAAGCTGTCAGTCGCAGAGCACAGACACTTGATTAATAATATAATACTAAAACGGTTGAAGCGGTCTAGAATGAACAAAACAACAGTTCAGATGGTTTACAGCAGGGGTCTCAAACTCAATTTACCTGGGGGCCGCAGGAGGCAAAGTCTGGGTGAGGCTGGGCCGCATAAGGGATCTCACAAAAAAAAGTCCTCAAATGTCATTATTAACAGTTTTAATTATTTCTTCTGAACATGAAGTGTCCTGAACATTAATAGAACATTGAGTGAAGATTATGAACAGTTCTTCTGAACATGGCATCTTTTGCCTACTCCTTGCTGCCAGAGACTTGACAGCGCTTCTTCTCACAAATCTGAACCACATTTGGCTTTAGAGCGGAAGCAGTTGAGACCCTCAGTATGGCTTGAAGATGATCATCATTAAGTCTAGACCTGTCCTTTGACTTATTGAAGTTCAAGGTGGAGAATAACTTCTCACACAAATATGTGCTCCCAAAAAGGCCAAGTCCTAGGGAAAAAAGTGGGAGAACTCACTCAAAACTTCCATTCCCTCACCTAAAAAAAAGGCGTATATATGTATAAATAAAACACCCCCACCCCACTCCAGTCACATCAGTCTGTACCAGTCTGTATCTACCTATAATATATATAAGACAGGGCTCGAAATTAACTTTTTTACTTGGTAGCACCGGTGCTCCCAACTTCAAATATTTAGGAGCACCAAAATAAATTTAGGTGCACCAGAAAAAATTTAGGAGCACCCACCAAAAATGATTAAGCACCGCTGCAAATTGCTTTTTAAGGGATTTATTGTATTTTAAAACAACATCAATAGAACTGACAAAAACCAGAAACAACTATCTAACTAATGCTGCGAAAACATTGATATTTGTGTGCAATAATTCCAAAATGAATGTCTAATAATTATAGAATATTAATGATGATGAAAATGACAATAATAGTAAAAATGAATTACATTTCTCATTATGATACTGCCTTGAATGTGCATGAATGTAGGTTATCTGCTATAACAAGTCTGTTACTTTATGAAAAATAATTGTATAGTTTGCATCAAACAAAAATGAAGCATTGCAGTAAGAAATATTTATTTTGTACTGCTGTTTTTATATGCATGTCAATTTAATAAATATTATTTCTGCTACAAAACAAACAAAAGATTATAATAAATCATTCAATTCAATGATGAAAGCTGCAAAGCAGTCATCAGTAAATAAATAAAAAATAATATACACCTCAAACAAGAATAGACAAAAGAAAGTAAGTAAAGTCTCACTTCTATCACTCTTTAAAAGATTTGGTTTCAGTTTGTGTCAATTTAAATGTTCAGTCTGAGATGATCTTCATTTTTCTGTGTTATTGGAAAAGCAGGCGAGTCAGCCGACCTAATTTATGAGCAGGCAGAGCAGGATTCTTGCGCTAACCATCGGCGCAATACCGGTCTTTGTTATGAGCCGCAGTTTCAGTGTAAACTTAGTAAAGGCGAGCTCCTTTGGCGATGATATGAACAGTATTAGATTTGACTTTTAGCGGACATTTGGGCTGAACATGCAGTGAATGCAACGCATGGAGATTCGGGCACCTTCTCCAAGAAGCGCGTACTCGATTGATCACAGCTGGCGGATCATTATTCACCACGTGACGTGTCATGATCGCTTTCATCTGCGCCTCAACTTTAAACCTGTGTGCTTTAAGTTTTTACTCTTCAGCCGTTTGCATTTCCCGTGGTCATAAAAACTCCTTCCCTGTCATCTGACAGCGGAATACCTTGAGTGAATGACATTCAGCACGTTTTTACAAAAAATCAAAACAGGTCGCACTACAACCATTATCTGCAGTCGCACTAATGCACCCAAATATATTATGAGGTCGCATAGATTAATTTTCGGGCGCATATGCGACCAAAATGGTCGCAATTTCGAGCTCTGTAAGATGCAGGCTGTAGCTAAGTGGCAGGCAGGGGCGGGAACAGCTTACCTTGGTTCTTCCCGCCCGTCACAGCGTCTAACAAAGGGGCGGGGTGCGTGGTGACGTCACCGGCATCCCCGCCCCTTTGTTTACACGGCGGGCGGGGAATGCCAGTGACCGCTGTGTACGGATAGAATCAGCGGAGCGGGAAGCGCTCGCTCTCCCCGCTCCGCTGATTCTGTCAGTGTACAGCGGTCGGCGCGGGCCACAAAATATTGTACTGAGGGCCGCAAATGGCCCGCGGGCCGCGAGTTTGAGACCCCTGGTTTACAGTGTTTAGCCTGTGGTTTGTCCATTTACACACATTTTTATCATCACATGATCACAGAATCACATGATTTATAACAGAATCACATGACTTTTTTTTTAATGCGCATGCTGAAATCTGTGCGGTAAAAGTGTTTCCATTGTGGTTTTGCATCTTTTCTTATCGAATAAAAAGTTTATCCCACACAGTTATGCACACACGTTTTTTTATCCGCATATTTAAAATGTATGTAAATCAAGGCAAAATGCGCAAAAAAATGGGTGGATGGAAAAATAGCTAGTGACACACACACACACACACACACACACACACACACACACAAATATGCATAAATTATGTCAAAACAGGGTTTTTCAAAGTCTAAGACAGTGGGCCTCCCTTTTGACACAACTTATCCATTGGCGCCCCCCTCCTCCCAAACACACGCGTGCACACACACACACACACACACACACACACACACACACACACACACACACAAAAAATTCTGGAGGTTTTTCTGCTACCTCATCATGCTTGGTTTCAAGGTGTCGCCGAAGTTTAGCGGGTCTCATGCTGTCATTAGCTAAAATATCTTGACAAACCACACATAAAGGTCGTGGTTCATCAGCTGGTCCTGTCCACATAAATCCTAAACTCAAATACTGACCATCATATCGTCGTCTTTTGGGTTTAAGCCCTGAACTTACAGGCTTCGAATCGGGGGGTCTCAGAAACCGATCCATTGTATTAGCAGCCATATACCTGTATTGGCGGGCTTGCCAAACTGAAGCAAATTCACAGCTATGGCCTTCTGGGTAAAAAAGGTTTTCTTATATTTGACGTATTATTTTTTTTTTAGCTTTGTTTAATTAAAACGTTTAAAAAAAATAAAAAATACATATAATAATTAAACTTAATAATTATATTTTTATTATATAATGTTTTTTCCCCGCGCCTCCCCTGACATGCTCTGGCGCCCCCTTGGGGAGGCGCGCCTCACACTTTGAAAACCCCTGTGTTAAAACAAACTTTTATTTTGTATGCAATTAATCTTCGCCCAGCACTAATTATAATGTAATAAACTGATATAAAATGACTTTAGTGGTAACATCTAGACAAGTGGACTAGTATTCAAGTGTTAGTGTAGAGTTTGTTTTGTGATTATTTTTGGGTTTTGTGGGATTATAAGCACAAAGTATTTGTCACCTGAATTTCGGTCGGTCTCTTCATTTTCTGATTTTGTATTTTCATCTGCCTCAAATGCTGGATTGTCAATTGCAGATGATCGACCTAAAAAAAAACCCACGTTAACTTGATATTATGTCTTAAACTTCAACGTTTATGCTTTAGTTATTATGCTTAATAAAACACACCTGAAGTCAAATCTTCTCTTATGTCCAATCCATCCATCATTCTCAGAACCGCAATACCATAGCTGGAGTCAAACGCATCGCTGAACAAGACAATAAACCACATCACAACAGAAACAAATAACTGTTTTAATTAAAAACACTGCATCCAGTGTGTTCATTCACAGTTTCATAAAAAGAGAAGAAAAAAAAAATTCCCAGATGGGGTGAGGCAGTGGCGCAGTAGGTAGTGCTTTCACCACACAGAAAGAAGTTCGCTGGTTCGAACCTCGGCTCAGTTGGCGTTTCTGTGTGGAGTTTGCATGTTCTCCCTGTCTTTGCGTGGGTTTCCTCCGGGTGCTCCGGTTTCCCCCACAGTCCAAAGACATGCGGTACAGGTGAATTGGGTAGGCTAAATTGTTCGTAGTGTATGAGTGTGTGTGAATGATTCCCAGTGTTTAGGTTGCGGCTGGAAGGGCATCCGCTGCGTAAAATCTTGCTGGATAAGTGAATTTTCCCAGATGTGCAGTCCTAGATCAAATTAAATTATTGAAAATAAGCATTAAACACGTGATCTTATTATATCTACCTGGCAACACAATGTAGATTATTATGAAAATTATTAGCACTGTTGTGTAAATATAAGTAATTTTCAAGTTGTGTTTGTATTTTTCTTCTGGATAAAGTCTTATTTCTTTTAGTTTGGAATAAAAAGATCAATAATATTAGCCCCCTTCAGTTATTATTATTATTATTTTTTCTTTACTAATTAACCCAACTTAACCTAGATAGCCTAATTAACCTAGTTCACTTAGTATCTTGCATTGCTAAATCAGACATTAAACCACATTGCAACAATAAAAAATCAATTTTAACTTTAATTACAAACACTGCGTCCAGTCTGAACAATTCTAAAAGGTGCAGTATCTTAGATCAACTGTACAGTTTTAGCAAATAAGCATTAAATACATGACATTAGGGATGCTCCGATCAGGATTTTTGCAGCCGATACTGAATACTGATCCCTTGTCATGGTGATCGGCCAATACTGAGTACCGATTCTGATGCTTCAAACTTTATAATGCTTTAAGCACATTTTCCCTCTAAGTGTGAACCTTAAGAGAAGATCTCGCCTTATCTATCAGAATAAATTAAGGATTCTGCATATAATACTTTAAACACGTCTCTTATAACCATTTAGATGTGAACATGTCATGGTCAGAAGCAGCTTTACAGAAAACGATTAGTTAATTTTACTTTGGCTTAGGCTATGTATAATATACAGGACTGCTTGTCTGTCTTCCTCTGCTTATAAACAAACACACACCTGCGATCAGTTTATGAGATCAGTCAGATTGACGAGTACCGATTGAGTCATGAAATGTGATTACCGATCTTGGGTTGATTGGTCGCAGCATTCCTACATGACACAATTATCTGTAATCTGGCAACAAAATGTAGATTATTATAAAAATGATTAGCGCTGCTGTGAAATTTATATTATTCTACAGTATTTTTAATTATATTGTTTCTGGATAATACATTTATTTTTGCTTGTTTGGAATAAATAGCTATTTACAATTTTTAAACTTACAAACCTAACAAACCACTGTTGTCCTATGACTAAACCTAAGAAAAAAATTTAAATAGCATTTTTTTAAAGCTGAATACTAGTATATTTTAAAATAACTAGTGATATATTATTATACTATTGTGTTACACTATTATAAAATATTATTTAACTGTTATATTACTAGTGAAATATATACTACTGTCATGGCAAAGACGAAATTAATATGTCATTAAAACTTATTTTTAATATATAAGTTAAATAAAATTGGAAATTACTTAAAAAAAATTAAATAATACAAACTGATATTATTTAAAATAATAATTGTTTCTTCATCTGTATTTTTTATTGGGAAATACTGAACTGATAATTATGAACAGAATCTGCCTGTGAGCTCACCTGATGGTGTTGAAGTAGTCCTGTAATCTCTCTGGTTTACATTCCTGCCAGTTTGTCTTGTATCCCAAAACAAGAGTGTTCGGCTTCAGTTTCCCAAGACCTGAAGCCTGGAAAGACAGGGTTGACCTCTTGTAAAAGGATATAATTAAGTTCAATTGTCTGATTCTGGTGTTAAAACCACAACTTACCTGCATGAGACTGTGTGTTCCCTCTGTCAGACTGTCCGCAGTGAAGGACGTGTAAAAAGCACGAACTTTCCTCTGATTCAGCCAGTCCACCAGCATATCAGTGCTGTGCTGTGGAAACCTGGACTTCTCCTCCACCTTTATGCATTAGAAAGAGCATTTTCAGGTGAAAAATGAGCACTGAACATGTTTGGTTTTTACGTGAAAAACTGTAGTGAGAAATCAAAAAGTTGGCCCTTATACAAAAAAGATGTCTCTTAATTGTGGAAAACATGTAATTTTAACAAAATACCATTATCACAATAAAATGCCTGGTTATAACATCATAACTGAGTGCAAAAAATAATAGCCTATTTGTGTGGCAGCGTTGCTTAACCGTGAATGTGTATCTGGTCTCGGAATATAAAAAAAAATAATAATAATTGTTTCTGATTGATTTTTATTGATTTTTATGTTTTATTTATTTACATTTAGTCATTTAGCAGACGCTTTTATCCAAAGCGACTTACAAATGAGGACAAGGAAGCAACTTACACAACTATAAGAGCAACAATGAATAAGTGCTGAAGGCAAGTTTCAGGTATGTAAAGTCTAAGAAGGAAAGTATTAGTAATGTAAGTTTTTTTTTTTTTTTTTTTGAGTACAGTTAGTGGTATCGCCAGAGAGGCAATTGCAGATTAGGAAGTGAAGTGGAGACTAAATAGTTGAGGTTTTAGTCGTTTCATGAAACAGTGAGTGATTCTGCCGTTCTCATGCAGTTAGGGAGTTCATTCCACCAACTGGGCAGATTGAACACGAGCGTTCGGGAAAGTGATTTCTTCCCTCTTTGGGATGGAACCACGTGGCGACGTTCATTCACAGAATCCAAGTTTCTGGAGGGCACATACATCTGCAGAAGTGAGAGCAGATAAGAAGGAGCAAAGCCAGAGGTGGCTTGGTAGGCAAACATCACAGCTTTGAATTTGATGCAAGCAGCAACTGGCAGCCAGTGCAAACGGATGAGTAGCGGAGTGACGTGCTCTTTTAGCTTCATTAAAGACTACTCGTGCTGCTGCGTTCTGGAGCAGCTGAAGAGGCTTGATAGAGTTAGCTGGAAGCCCCACTAGTAGAGAGTTGCAGTAATCCAGTCTGGAGACAACAAGAGCTTAAACAATTAGTTGAGCTGCATGTTCAGATAGGAAGGGTTGGACCTTTCTGGTGTTATAGAGTGCGAATCTGCAAGATCGAGCAGTTCTAGAGATGTGGTCAGAGAAGTTTAATTGGTCATCAATCGTTAATCCAAGGCTTTTCACCATTCTGGATGCAGTAATGGTTGCCCCATCCATTTGGATTGAAAAGTTATGGTGTAGAGTCGGGTTGGCAGAAACTTCAAGCATTTCGGTTTTTCAGTGCTGTAAAAGAAACCTTATAAAATTTTAAAAATCACATTAACCGTTCACCGGAGATGTATCGGTATGGGAAGAAACACTAGCTATGCATATACCCTATTTAGTGCTGATAAAGTTAGTGACTTTGAAATCAAAGCAGCTTTCACTACGATACATGGTTTTACATAATGTGCCTAAAAAATTGGATTAACTTTGGTTCTTACCATGAAAATGTTCCCACAGATCATCAGGCTGATGTTTTTAGTGAAAGTGCCCACAAAGTCCACCAGGGCTGGACGGACGTTTGGAGGGCCAGTCAGAACCAGACACTGAGGCCTGAGAGAGTGTTTATACATAAGTGACTGGAGTATTAATGATCTGTAGAGGTCAGTTCAGTTATTATGTTTACAATACCTGAAGTTTTTCACATGGTCTTCAACACCAGTCAGGGACATTGAGAAGGACAGAGCCATGTTGTAGAAACTGGCCTGATAGGACGTTCCCCAGTTAATCTCTGGACACAATTAATAAAACCTTCAGACGTGTGCATATCAATTAAAATATATTCGTCATTCTCTGCAGCATATACTCACTAGGCTTCTTGTAGGTGACGTATCCTAAGAGGGAGAGGACGATAGCAAACGTGACCAGAGCAGCCCACCACGTAAACAAAAACATGAGGATGAAGGAGAGGAAAGCAGCAAACAGAGACGTCCATGGAGAAAAGTAGTGGTAATGTGGACGCCAACCTATAAGACAGGTTATAGTTATGAATATTGATCTTTGACATGATTAAATCGCTGTCCAAAATGTATTATTAAACCCAATTTTCTATTTCACCAGAATGTAGTCAATAACAGTGTTGGGTCTAATGCATTACAAGTAATGCGAGTTACGTAACATTACTTTTCCTGGACGAAAAGTAATGAGTAAAATAACGCATTACTTCAAAAACAACTAGATTCTTAAAGTTTGAGGACAAACTTTGAGGCTGGTGTGTGAACGCCTGATGGTAATAGCTTATTTAGTTTAAACTGTTTTAAAAAGTATGACAAATAGATAGATAGATAGATAGATGGATGGATGGATGGATATATAGATGGTGTGCTAGCTTGAGTCAAACAAGCCAACCCCCGCTTCTCTACGATGTTCTGATGCTGACATATAGCTGCTGTTATATTGTTGCTAGGTTAGTCTGTTTTGTTGCTATGGAGTTGATTGACAGCTTAGACTGAAGATGTATCAAAGCTTCTTTATCACACTGCAGCATGACGATATCAATCTGAACCTCTATAATGGCAGTCTATTGGACCGTATCTGGTTGTTAGGGTTTGGCTAGAAAGTTGAAAACTTATCAGTTATTGGTAGTTTGGTAGTCTGAGTTAAATGAGCCCAGTTAGAAGTCTGTGCGACAGTCTGATGTAGAGTTATGAGCTCACAAAGTTTGACCCAATGTAAAGTCAATGAGAGTCTTTTGCAGTGGAAATCTATGGGACAGTTTTTAGGGTCCCAAAAGTGATTGCTAGGGTGTGGCCAGAAAGTTAAAAGCTCATTAGTTATTGGGAGTTAGGTAGTCTGAGTTAAATGAGCCCAGTTAGAAGTCTGTAGGACAGTCTGATGCAGAGTTATGAGGTCACAAAGTTTGGTCCAATGTCAATGGGATTTTTCCGACGGTCCCGGGACGTTTTTCAGAAAACCGAAAGTCGGATCAGTAGGAAAAGATATAGCAACCCGAGTCAGACCAGTTTGGAGGTCTGGTGTGAGTTTGGTGGTCATAGCTCGAAAGCTTTAGGAGGAGATAGAGTTTAATTTTTAGTCTCAGAAGAAAAATAGGATAACAATAGTCTGGCTTGCTACACAAGCCAGCCTGTTAAGTAATATTATTTGAGTTACTTTGTAAATGTAATGCGAGCTACATTTCATTAATTTTTAATGTTTTTTTCACCTTTATTTGGAATGGACAGTAGAGGCTGCAGACAGGAAAGTATTGGGAAAGTTAATACAGGAGCACCAGCCTGATCTCACGAGGAAACGTAAGTATTTTACATTTTGTCAGTTTAGTGACTAATTCGTACGAATTTGTACGAGTTCAGTCATACAAATGTACAATTTTAAAAAGGAGGCGTGGCACCTAACCCTAACCGTCATTGGGAGATGAGCAAATCATACTTAATTGTACAAATTAGATCGTATGAATTCATAAGAGTTAGCCACTAAATCAAAAAGTTACGAATTGCTGTGAGATTGCATTGGGAGCACATAGTAGCAAAAGGGTAGTTCAACAGAGCAATCATATAACAGGTGAAAAGGTCAGGGCAGGTCGCAAAACAACATAATGGTAAACAAACAAGGGGGAAAAAAACATATGACAGGACAACACAGGTAAATGTTAAGTAATTCTCACAACAGAAAATAAGACTCTGCAGTGTGTTTGTGTGTGTGTAGTCTAAGTAATCAGACATGACGAGCTTCAGCTGTGTGTGTAATCCGATTACCTAAAACCTGGTGTGTGACTGTGGTGCATGATGGGATATGTAGTTCATGTGAATAACGGAGTGTTCCCCAGCGATCCGTTAGGGCTACTGGTGATCATAATTTGTCTTGTTATAATCATTCATACAGCGATGATGATGATGTTCTCACCAGGTGATTTGGTGATCGTGGCGTGGAAGCAGCTGAAGTTGATGAGGCCGTAAGAGCAGAGGAAGAAGTTGGAGATCAGAGGAGCGATTGTGTTCAGGTCACCTGAAAACATCAAATATTAAAACACCTGTAAAGAGAAGCACCACAGTAACTGATCTAATGCAGCAGATCCAACACTCACCGATGAGGATGAAGGCCAACGCAATGAAGAACATCAGCAAATATCCACGTAGAGGCTCTTGGTTTTTCCCGTAGCCTTTCCCGAAGAAGCCGATGTAGGGGTAAATGTTATCTTTGCACAGACACTGTGGAAAAACGTGTGAAATGTTGAAATTGAATGTATGCTAAATTAACATAATTTTCATCTTACTAGCCTCTACCTGAAATATTTTGGGTGCAGAAACCAAGAAACCCAACGCTGACGACAAAGTAGCTGCAAAGATCCCGATGGTGATCAGATGACCAGTTCCAGAGGCAGTGGTGAGAATCTAGAGAAAAATAGGCATCTTGCTTGTTGAAAATGCGCTATATATATACATAGTGCTGTCAATCGATTAAAAAAATTAACTAATTTATCGCACCTTTTTGAAAAAATTAATCGCGATTAATCACATTTAAAATACTGAAACTTGTAATTTTGGCTATTCAAATGTAAAATTAATGTAAACACAAGACAAAAACTATTTAAACTATATTTGTTTTTAGAATTTATGTTTAACTTGTAACACAGATTTCTTCATGTAAACAGCATACCCACAATAAACCATCAAGATCATCATGTTAATGCCATTTGAATTTCAAAACAATCAATGCCAATAAAAAAACATTGATTTCCATGTTGGATTCTAAGTGGACTGCAAAAAAAAAGCCAAAATACAGGTATTGCAGATATGGAAAATGGAAAATTATAATAATAAGTTATTGAATACAAACTGTTGCACTCATTGTAAAGTTTTATTGCTGTGAGTTGAGAACATTAATTATAGAATAGTAACAATTTTGCTTAATCCTCCTTTACATTTATCCAGTTGCTAAGACTAGGAGTATCCCGCAAGTGCACAGAGACTCCCAAATGCCCGCAAATGAATGATAATCTCTCGCAAACCGGTCGTTAAATACATTGCACACCCCTGTCCACCGCATCCCTCCTAGACTTCAGGTATGTCGCGCGCAACTCACCCCCACTGTCCTTCAGGTACGTCTCGCACGCACACACCCCTCCTCAGATACGTCGCTCATTCCACCCCTGACACCCCTCAACGAGCCTGACACAGACACACACACAACGTGCTGGAGCGACTCCCTTCATATTCAACACGCATGATCGCATTCATCAAATTTGCTTAAACTAAGCGTTCTAAAGTATTACTGTATTTCACAAGGATTCTGACACAACAACGCGAAGCAGATGCTTTCATTTCGTTTAATGAGGAAACACGCTAAACTTGGAGGGCTCATGCTGAAAGGCAGAGTAATGCCCTGTCTTTGACAGCTCGCGACTTCACCAGAGACTTTGAGTACATTCACATAAGACACCAATACTCCGATTTTAATATGATTAAGATTATACTCTTATTAAAATTCTACCGTGTAGCCTAAGCAAGGATTTTGTTACCTTAAAGCAACACCGAGTCACGAAATGCAGAGGATTTTCTTTCTGTTCGCCATGCGGTATCAACTTACAACAGAAGTCGAAAGAAGTTGAAACTCTTTATAACCTGTGATGCAACTAATTGTTTTACACTGAAACTTGCCTCCAAAAAGTGCTTCCTTGGTCTTATCCACATTTACTGCATGTTAAACACACGTCCACTACAACAGGAAGTAAAAAAAACCTGCAACTGCGTTAATTGGGTAAATTTTTTTTAACGCGTTAATTATTTAAAATTTATTGCATGCGTTAACGCACTAATTTTGACAGCGCTAATATATATATAATAATAATAATAATAATATATAATATATAATAATAAAATATCCACCATTGTATAAATAGTTAAAGAATATGATATGATTATCTTTAGATCTTTAATAAAAAATCTAATTCTGCATTGTGACTATTGTAGATATACACATTGTGAAATCGATGCTCAAGCGATATATTGTTCAGCACAACTGTGTTCTGACAGATGTGCTCACCTGGAAGTAGTTTGCCAGTCCAAAGCTACAGGTGTGGTTTTGTTCACAATGGTCAAAATTCCAGCCCAGTTTACAGCCCAAGCCACTGCACTGGATTGAGGAATCGAGCGCTAGACTGTCATTAAGATTGCCAGAAGCATCTCTTACCACACTTGCAGCTGACAAAGAATACAGAAAAACAGAATGAAAGAAATAGAAGTTCTGAAATGTACAAGAACTATGACAAATAGTGCACATTTTATACATATTTCAGAAACCACATTTGAATATTATACATTTTTAATTCAGCGACAACATAACAACAGTCTTAATGTTTAGAAAGTGACATACAAAAATCATTACTCCGACAAGTTTTTATTTAAATATTAAGTGTAAGGGAAATGTTAAGTAGAGTTAGGGCCCTATTATACACCCGGCGCAGTGTGGCGCAAGGCGCGGCGCAGTAGTCTTTTGGTAGTTTCAGCTTGGCGCAAGAGTCGTTTTGAGGCGTTGCGCTACGCTGTTTATATAGCAAATGCATTAGCGCTCATATGTGCGCCCATAGGCGTTCTGGTCTAAAAAGGAAGGTGTTCTGAGGCGGACCGCTGGCGCGTTGCTATTTTGAGAAACTATAATAGATTTTTCATCAGACCAAAACAAACCCGGTCTAAACTCCAGCGCAGAGTTGCGCCTCGCTTATGCACTGCTTAATACACACAAGAGAGCAATAGGCAAATATCTTTACATATGAAAAAATGTAAATATTAAGGATATATATAGGATATTATAAGAATAGATATAGAATAAAAATATAAAGGATTAAAATATTACAAAACATATTATTTTCTAGCCTACATAAATATGAAAAATCACTGCTTTTATGTCTTCTTCATCTCGGGAGGCTTTTTCAGTTCATTCATAACAATTTGCTTTTGTATAATGTTATTATTATTAGCAGTATTATATATTATATCCATATTTATATTTGTTTTATTAAAAACAAGCTTAGATTTGTCCACCTGTCAGGTTTTAGACCATAAGGGGCACAGCATGTGTTTTAGGATATAACTCAGGTTTTTGAGCACACTTTGTTATTATTATTCATTTATTCGTTTGCTGGAAATTAGAACTGAATTTAGAAATAGTTTTGAAACTAATCTTTGCGCTTAACAAACAAAAGTATTTATTTATAGGCTAATTGATGTCTGTGCGTAAAGGTTTCCCTATCCAAGAGCGAAAGTGAAAGTGATCCATTATCTCTCATTCTCACGCAGTGGATGCTCAGTTTAACTGTTTTCTGTTAAAATAAATTGTTAACTGTTTGCTTGTGAAATGCTCATTTTTTCCACTTACACTGACTTTGCATCCTGTAAATAGCGAATGCGCTCTTGGCGCGACGCAGCTGACTCTTAAAGGCAATGGGAGATGAGACTCTAATTGGTTTATTCTCAAAACACACCTATAACTCATTAAGAAAATAAACTCAACCCTTTTAGACCATGCACCGAAGCGCAAAGCAGATTTCCCGTCCTTAAATTAGCAAAAACGGGTCCTGACACGCCCTGAAAGCGTTTGCGCCCTGCGTTTTGTGCTCTGCGCATGGACCGTCAAAATAGAGCCCTTAGACTTTCATGTTGCTACATTACGTATTCTGGGGGTCTAAATTACAAAGGTGCTTGGTTTAAAATTAATTCTGCTTTAAAAAGTCATTAAATTGGCTGCTTATGAAAGAGTGGGAACCCTGTTAAAGATTCTCAACTTTTCTGCATTGCTGGACACGTCCACATTCAGTCATCAATGCCTTGGGTAGCTTGAGCCCTCCACTGAAATGAATGGTCACTTTTGATATCAATGGTGTTTTATTCATACACCATTCATATATGCATTCATTTATATGTGTGTAATTCATTTTACACTAATTTAAATTAGTGTAAAATCAAATCAACCAGCAAACAAATCTGAAAAGTGTAGTCTCACCGACGGTAATTGCAATGAGTAAATAGCTGACTGTGGTCCAGAAAATGGCCAACAGGGTCCCTTTAGGAATCCCACCTGAGGGATCCTGCAAAACACAGAAATGCACACTCTGCCATGTTAAAGACACATTCACTTACACTAAATACTGTGCCTAAAACTAATAAGACTACTATAGTTGCTCTAAAACTGATATTTAATGTGATATGTTTGATTTATAGCAGGGGTCACCAATCTCGTTCCTGGAGGTCCTGTGCCCTGCAGGGTTTAGCTCCAGCTTGCCTCAACACACCTGCCTGGATGTTTCATGTATACCTAGTTAGACCTTGATTAGCTTGTTCAGGTGTGTTTGATTAGAGTTGGAGCTAAGATCTGCAGGACACCGGAGCTCCAGGAACAAGCTTGGTTATCCCTGATTTATACCATCATATAATATGATTGAATGATTTAAAAAAAAATGCAATTAAAAATGTAATTTTCCCCATTTCAACAGGTTGCTTAAGACTAACTGGCTTAACATTCTTAACCTGGTAACCCTTTTTTGAATATTAAGTAACAATCAGTGAAAAGTGACTGTTTCTCTATTTTTAGAAATGTCTTAATAATTCATATTAAGGCGCACTTTCACTCTTCACAGAAAAAGTAAATTGGATTAGTTAACAGAATATAGACGTACAACCTTTGCAAAAAGCTGCTTAAAATCTGCAGTTTTGTGAGATTGAATCTACACGTCAACTTTTATTGATATACACCAAAAATGCAATGTGTTTCCTGTCTTTTGATTGGCAGGATCTTCCCTCATCATCAACTGTTTTTAGACGATGCCAGTTATTGGCTGATATATTGGTGCATCTTTTAGGATTACCTTGAGATCTCCACAAATGTTGACGCCAGACAGAATTCCGGTGGCAGATGGAAAGAAGATGGAAAACATCCTGAAGAAAGAGCCGTCTTTTCCTCTGAATGATGGCAGCAGATTATCCACGAAGATCTCAGCTGTAAGGAAAAATAAACTTGTTAGGTTTGGCTGTTTTTTTTTTTGTTACCAAATTCTATGTCAGTACTCTGATATATCCATAAGTTCTGTACATTTACTGCCATTGCTTTATATACCTTAATAATGTAATTTATTATTTTGGGACTCTTAAAAGTTTAAATCTGGCATGCAAGTCAGAATTAAAACATCAAATATAGAAATTCTGACATACAAAATTTATGAAAAGATTTTTAAGTTTTAGTTGGCATAGATTATCATGCAAATAAAATAGTCCAACATACTAAGAGTACAACATACTAAACCATAATTATGAAATCATAAAAATGTGATAATAATTAATTAAAAGATAAAAAGTAAATATTTTTGGCATAATTCATGTAGGGTTGAAAATTAGGTCATAGTTGACAACATTTATGCATATGAAAAGTCAAAATTAAAATGCTATGTCAGGAGTTCCCAAACGTTTCAGCTTACGACCCCAAAATAACAATTCCTATGACTTGTGACCCAACTATCCTCGAGGTGGGTTGTAAACATACAAACACTGCACACAATGGTGCGCACACACACAAACACTAGTAGGAATTACATAAATGAGCTTATTGACAACACAAAAAATTGCAACAGTCTAACGCCCCATTCACTCGGGGCGTCAGCTTCAACGTTTCCCATTCACTTTGAATGGGTGACGTGAGGCTTTGCCGAACTGCATTGTGGATCCGTCGATGCCGCTTCACAGGTGTTGCTCGCTACAGAAGTTGGGACTTTCTCAGCTTTTCAAGTGCCAACAGACGCGTCAGCCAATCAGATTGCTGTATGCAAATACACCAGCTCAGACAGTAGCCGATTGCGGACTAATTTCATTGGCTGACGCTGCTATGACGATCGCATCAGCCCCAACTTCAGACATGCCTTCTGATAAGCGTTGACCTTGAAGCCCCGTGTAAAAAAATGCATAAAAATAGGATAATTTTAATAGCTAAACAACATTTATGATATTTTTGGAAATCACCAAGCGAAGATTGCCAAGAAGATAAGCCAAGAAGATAAGCCAAGATTATTAAAAAAAAATGTATATCCTAATTGTGACAATGTGTTATATTAATGAACTTTATTCTTACTTGATTTCTCAAAGCATGTTTTTAATTGTTTTGTTGTTGCAGGAACAAATATCACCAGACGTACATGAAGGCTTTAGTATTGTCGTGTACTCACCGCGGTAGCCGAAAAATCCCACCGCCTGCTTCTCTGGGGTGGGAGGAAGGAGCGTCCCAACAAAATAATTAGCTAAGGAGATCAACAGCGCAATGAAGAACAGGATCTGAGCCTGTGATGAAGTCGAAATAAAAAAACAAAACAATGGCGGTTGTGTTGTCAAAAGAGCCAGTATTGGTTAACTAACAAAAAAAGAAGCAGAGGATTTTACCTTCGCCTCCCATGCCATGCCTGCAAACGTTATGAGGAGGAGGATGCAGACTGTAATCGTCCCAATAATCCGCACGTCATTCACATCGTCCACCATCTGAGCGTTGTTTTCCTGAGAAGAGAGAAAACGGTAGATTACTTTAAAATTTCAGGAATATAATATAGATTAAGCATTTATGAAAGTGTAATCTGGATTAATTTAATTAAATCTGGATGAATTTGGATTACATTTAGATTACTTTTGTGCTAACCCTTATTTAATGTCTCATACAATGAAATAGGATATACCTAAGAATTGTAATCAGTTCCAAATTACATGTCAGTAATGTAATCTAGATTACGCATTTATGAGAATGTAATCTGACTACTTTTCGATTACATTTAGATTACCTTTGTGCTAACAAAGAAAAGTAGGATATACATACGAATTGTAATCAGTTTCAAATTACATGACAAGATTTGTAGTCAGTAATAAAATCTAAATTACACATTTATGTGAATGTAATCTGACGATTGGATTACATTCAGATTACTTTTTAGATTGCTAATTACAATTAGATTGCTCTAATCCTTATTTAAAGTTTCATAAATTGAAATAGGATATACTTAGGCATTGTAATCAGTTACAAATTCCGTGACAATTTGTAGTCAGTAATGTAATCTAGATTACACCTTTATGGGAATATAATCTGACTACTTTTGGATTACATTTAGATTACTTTTGTGCTAATCCTTATTTAAAGTCTCATACAATGAAGTAGGATATACCTAAGAATTCTAATCAGTTCCAAATTACATGTCAGTAATGTAATCTAGATTACGCATTTATGAGAATGTAATCTGGATTAATTTATTAAATCTGGATGAATTTTGATTACATTTAGATTACTTTTGTGCTAACCCTTATTTATTGTCTCATACAATGAAGTAGGATATACCTAAGAATTGTAATCAGTTCCAAATTACATGTCAGTAATGTAATCTAGATTACGCATTTATGAGAATGTAATCTGACTACTTTTGGATTACATTTAGTTTACCTTTGTTCTAACAAAGAAAAGTAGGATATACCTAAGAATTGTAATCAGTTTCAAATTACATGACAAGATTTGTAGTCAGTAATAAAATCTAAATTACACATTTATGTGAGTGTAATCTGACGCTTGGATTACATTTAGATTACTTTTGTGCTCTAATCCTTATTTAAAGTTTCATAAATTGAAATAGGATATACTTAGGCATTGTAATCAGTTACAAATTCCGTGACAATTTGTAGTCAGTAATGTAGTCTAGATTACACCTTTATGGGAATATAATCTGACTACTTTTGGATTACATTTAGATTACTTTTTTGCTAATCCTTATTTAAAGTCTCATACAATGAGGTAGGATATTCTTGTACTATTTTAACAGATACTATTTAGCTTCTTTCCAGCCTCAATGGCTTTTTTTAAAAAAAAGACCAATGATAGACACTTCTTTGTCAGCATTTACTCACTGTTTACTTGTTTTAAATTCCGAGTTTCTTTCTTCTGTTCAACACAAAAGAAGATTATTTTGGAAAATGTTAGAAACTTGTAACCATTGACTTCCATTGTATCTGTTTTCTTCAGAGACCAGGGGCCTCATGTATCAACACTGCGTTCGCACAAAAACTTTGCGTACGCCAGGTTTCACGCTCAGAATCGCTCATGTTTGGATTTACTAACAATGAACTGAACGTGGGAATGTGCGCAACTCCACGCCAGCTTTATGGCTGGTGTACGCACATTTTTGTGTGTGTCTGTTTTATTTCCATTGGCGACTCCTAGAGGCAGTTGTGTTAAATTGCTCTCTACAAAGTGTCTTCTCAGCTGTATGAGACAGGTTCATCTGCATGTCTAGTATATAAGATTTCTGTACCATACAAACATTAAAGCACAATTTGCAGCGGTCGCCAGTTTTCCCAACGTAATCGGAGCTATCTACTGCACGCACATTGCTATAAAGACACTATCTGAGGATGAATTTGCATACGTGAATCAGAAACATTTCCATTCAATAAATGTGCAAATAAAATATGATGCACAGACTTATTAAAGATTCCTACTTGTCTTCCTCATGATGAAGAGTATATAGGCAAAATCTGATATGTAGCAGAGAAGAAAAGAATGAGTTCATCAGACGCTGGATTCGAAACGAGTTCATGCTCAAACGTGTCAAAACATGTTGCCATGCATTTAACGAGCTGCGCCACTCAGGCTGTTAAAGACACTACAAAATTTTACACCTATAGATCGCACTATTTCTTTTTTTAATCCACTCCGTGCGATGTTCAGACTTAACTGTGTTCAGCTTCAGCATAAACTCTAAAATCTTCAGCTAAACTCTCCCACTCTATTTTTTACTTTTGTTGTTAATTCCGGAGAACAAACTTGCAAATAACACCGGTTTTCTCCGGTCTACCTCTAAAAGCAGCACCTCCAATTCACATTCTGTTCAAAGTTTCTCTTCTTGCTTGCTTTTGCCGTGGCTTTTTCGTTGGGTTTTGCCATTAGCATAGTCATTAGCATATTCATACGGGGGAGGAGGCAGGGAGGGGTTTTGTGCTCGTGCATGTTGCGCTCAGTTTCACGTTCATTCGGATGTACAAAAGAATATGCGTGGGATTCGGCGTACACAGTGTTTCATACATCTGAATTTTTTCAGCGTACGCATTGTTTTAGTATGATTTCCATGCAAGTCTTCGTACATGAGGCCCCAGGAAGGGACATGATGCTGAGAAAAAAAAAAAAATTGGTGGAAGAAAAAAAAATGGACGGGAGAAATAATTTATTTCATATATTCACATATTTTTAAAGTTTTTGCGTTCCCTTGCAAAACTGTTATTGGACATACACTTCACTTTATACATGACTGTTTGTGCTCATTTAAGAGGAAATTAAATGTGTTTAAAATAAAACACGCAGGACGTCCGGGCATGTTTACATATTATTAAGTGTATTTGTCTGTTTAAACACACACCTGAATCCCAAATTGTCCTGCACTTTAGCTCCTCTTTAAATGGCGTGTACAGCTGATCTGGGAGTCAATCAGCGCATATACATGCATTCACTTGATTCAGAGGTTGCATATGAGGGGCCGCTGGTCGACGCTCAGCTTTAATGGAAAGAAAGTGAATGCAGACATTTTTATATTAATTTCAACATGCTTTCAAGATTAAAAATATGAGAGAAATATGAGAAAATACCTAATAATAGGTAAAATTCGGGACAACCCCAGCAAAAATGGGAGGGTTGTCATGTATGAAGTGATGGTTGCTGAAAACTTTCAAAAATATCTTTACCTATTACTCTGGTTTTTTTTTTCTCCCACCCATTTTTTTTTTTCTTACACCCATGTTTTTTTTCTCCACCATCACGTCCCTTCCGGGTCTCCATAGTTTTCCCATTATGGAAGTCAGTGGTTTAAACTTTTTTAGCTAATTTTAATTTCTTTTCTTTTTTTCAACATAATAAAGAAACTCAAAGTCTGAAACCACTTGAGGGTGATAAATGGTAAGTAAATGTTTTTTTTTGTTTGTTTTTTTTTTGCAGGTGAACTCTCTCTTTAATACTTTAATAATACTTTAATTTTAATTTTAGTCTCAATTTTTTGCATATAAAACATAAAACATACATATATATATATATATATATATATATATATATATATATATATGACCTCATGTTGTCAATCATATTTAATCATAAATTACTTTCATTTTTTGCTTTCATTATAAAGCATTTTAGAGGTGGTTTGACAATTCAGAACCAACGTGCAATCTAAAGCCAAAATCCAAAATAATGTCTGAGGCAGCACAGAGCCCTTTATGACAAAAAAAATGGAATATAAAGACAGGTTATGGGATACATGAGATGAGATATTTGGGATACATGAGATGATATATTTGAGATGATTCTTATATATATATATATAAGAATCATCGTGTGTGTGTGTGTTTGTGTTTAAAGAATAATAAGCTGCAGATATATTATGAAACAATAAAAACATTTATGAGAATCAATGAATTATGAAAAACAGTCATGTGATCGTACGTACCTGTAATCTGAGTTTGAGAATTTTATAAAGTAGTTTAATTACAAATACAGAATCTAATTATGTAATCCAGGACACATAGAATCCGTTACTGCCCAGCTTCGATTACTACAGCATAAACAAGCACAGTCATATTTTAAACTCTGTAAGTTATTTAGTTCATGCTTTTTCTTTCAAGCAGCTTTCAGAAAAAATCTCACTTTGAGAACGTCTCTGACGGTTTCTGCAAACCCCACAGTGTTGAGCGAGCAGGCGAGAGCATTGGCGAACGAGAAGAGCAAACCAATGGGCGCTCCGAGCTCTGGACCCAGACTTCGAGAAATCAAGAAGTACGTACCACCTGGAGGAAAGATTGGCTTTGACTTATTTTTATCCTACACAAACACATTTTACTGATTTTGTTTGGAAAAATAAAAGCAGTAGACAGATCTGCTTTAGTAAATGCTTGTTGTTTTTAGTATGTTCTGCTGAAGGGAAAATTATTCACCCTCCTGTGAATTTGTTTATCTTTTTTTAAATATTTCCCAAATAATGTTTAACAGAGCAAGACATTTTAAACAGTATTTCTTATATTTTTTTTTCTTCTGGAGAAAGTCCTATTTGTTTTATTTTGGCTCGAATAAAAACATTTAAGGTCAATATTATTAAACCCCTTGCGCCATATTTGTTTTGAATTGCCTACAGAACAAACCACTGTTATACAATGACTTGCCTAATTACCTATACTAATATTGCTTAAATATGTGCTGTCATCATGGCAAAGATTAAGGAAATCAGTTATTAGAAATGAGTTATTAAAACTATTATGTTTAGAAATGTGTTGCAAAATTTTTGTTAAACATAACTCGGGGGAAAATACACAGGAAGGCAAATAATTCAACTGTATGTATATTTTAAAGAAAAACTAGACAGAATTTGTGATTGAAACCAACACGACAAGTGTTATTTTCTTCACTCACCAGAGTAGACCTTCCCATTGGTGGAGATTGCAGACACTGACGTCGCTGTGATTGTTGTGATGGTGACAGACATGAAGATGATGACGTATGTCAGAACTACAAGCACAAAAGGTACAATATAAGCAATCTCCCTTTTTTAAAAAGCTTTTGAGATTGTCACTAGAAATGACTTAAGGATACGATTTGAAGTGAATTATTCAGATAAGGAACCGACTTACTGATTCCAGCTTGAGACGTGATCCACGGCAGCCGCAGAAACATGATGACTCCCCAGATATTCAGCATACAGCGAATCTGAAACACAATCACAGTTAAACTCTGTTGTTTCATATGTTAAGAACCGATTTCACCCAAAGCACAAGACTTTGCCTTTATTGACTTTGCTTTGATGTTGAGATTTCTCATTAGTAGTCCATATCTATCTATCTATCTGTCTGTCTGTCTGTCCGTCCGTCCGTTCGTCTGTCCGTTTGTCATCGCTATTTCTATATATCTATCATCCATCTCTCTATCATTTCCATCCATCCATCCATGCATTTATCTATCCATCAATCATATCCGTTCATCCTTCCATCCATCATCCATATTTCTATCTATCTATGCATCTATCCATCCATCCATCTATCCACCGTCTATTTATCCATCCATCCATCCGTCCGTCCGTCCATTCATCATCCATATTTCTATCTATCTATGCATCTATCCATCCATCCATCTATCCATCGTCTATTTATCCATCCATCCGTCCGTCCGTCCATTCATCATCCATATTTCTATATATCTATCCATCCATCTATCCTTCCAACCATCCACCTCTCTATCATTTCCATCCATCCATCCATATTTCTATCTATCAATGCATCCATCCATCCATCTCTCTATATTTTCCATTCATCCCACTATGGTATTTATCCATAAATCAATCCGTCCGTCCATCCATCTATCCAACAGTCCCTCCCCTAATGTATATTAGACTTGTTTATCATTCTGCTCCTTGATGTAGTGAACAGATTAAGCTAGGTGCACACAAAATATGTGCAACTGTATTTACAGTAAAATATGGTATTCAGGGGGCTGTATACAATTGCAAGCCAGACTTTCAGATTTGTGTTTGTTAAACTTTTAAAAAAACATTTATCATTTTTCACAATTCTGTGCCACTTTGTGCTGGTGTTTCACATAAAATCCCAATATGTTTTATTTTATTTTTGTACAACATTAGGGAAAACATTAGGGTAAGTGCATTCTATAATCTCATAGAACTAAATATGATGTGTATAATCTGTGTATAACCAGCGGTTGGGTTTGCGCTGATTTGGCCCATATTTGAGTTGAAACACTATAATATGTTGAATTATATATATATAAATATATTGAACATATTGACCCAGGATTTTAAAGAATGCTCCGTTTCCCCAAATAATTTGGGTTGAAACTGCAGAAATCTAAACAATTTGTGTTCCAAGTTTTTAAAACAATTTTTTTTTTTTAGACAAAAGTGATTCAAGAGCATCTGAAAGGTCAAAGAGATCAAATTAATTTCTGCTGTTTTCACACCATGACTCCCAGAACCCATCCAAAGCGAACGAGTTTGACTTTGGGCCGTCCATCATCCTCCGGTGGTGGAGGAAGATCATCAGGGTCAGGCTGTCGACAGGAACATATAATCAATCACCACCAAAAGCATAATATTTGCAAACAGTAGTCTTCATGTTTAGTATTCAACACTCACTTCAGACTCTCGTATTATGCTGTATTTTTAGGCAAATCAATAGAGATTTCACTTACTGATTTGCGCAGAACATCTAGTGAAGGTCTCGCACTTTTTATACGTCCAGTCCAGGTGTCTTTAGCATAAAATTCAAATTTTGGTGTGGGATCAAGGGGATTGAAGATTGACATTTTTCTCTTGTCCTGCTCCTGCTCCATCACATAATCAACCTTTTCCAAATTCATGGTAACATCCTGAAGGTTGTTCTCTGGGGGTCGACTGTCCGGGAGTCGACCACCCGGGATTAAGTTTCTTATGTGCGCAATGGGTCTGGACATGATGAATCCTCTAGGACTTTTTTTCTGCGCTAATCCTTGTGAATATCACAGCATAATCCTTCAAATCCGCAGAAATCCCACTGGACGATCAAGACGCCAAATGTCCCACACATCCAGACCTTCATCTGCTCTCTAAAAATGAGTTGCATTTTCTTTTATACCCTAATTGCATCTCCTCACATACACCCACCTGCATATACAGTATTGTACACACATAAGCACTGCTGCTGAACCATGGCTTGAGGTTATTTGTGTTATTTTGCTATCTTTGAAATCATGTTTGGAAATATCAACAAGTTTGTTTCATGTAGATCTGTCCAATGGAGATGTGGTCTGCCAGAAGCAAATTCTTAGTCATGCAGAAACAAAGCTTGATTAATATTAAACTAGTAAACACTACAAGTGAAATAAGGGGACAACAAAGACCTAAGTTCAGACATCTGAAGATCTGCTCTCCTTCATCTGAAGTCTTTGATGAATGAGTTCATTAAAAGTAATGGGTTTCCTGGTCTGAATGACTTGCATGACCACATATTGACTGGATTTGACTGGAATTTTTGGACTTTCCAACTTGGGACTTTACTTTGAAGCTGGATGTTTTAAGTTCAGCTGATTTCAGAAACCTGTGAAACATCTCAAACCTGTTCAATGTGGTGATGTATTTGGCCCGTGAACAGTTCCTGCTTGTCATCAAAGCTTTTCATAACTGTAACAAGAGGCAATTCAGTCATAACAAATGTTAACACAGCCGTCATAACTTTTTCTTTTTAGCAACATGGAATTTTTGGGATTTATTTTTTTCTTATGTATTTTAAGCCTTTTTATATCATAAATAAAATGTGAAGTTAATAAAATTCAGGCTGAATAAAATGTAAATACACGTCTGTGAATTCCCGTCAGATTCCAAAAAGAATAATATGCATGAAAAGGAAGTTTAACATGCCCCAGCAATGAATCTTTTGAGATTGCATTTGTATCACCATTGACCCTTGCCTTACCGGTACCACCATTTACTCTTGCTCTGCCGGTACCACCACTGACTCTTGCTCTGCCGGTACCACCATTTACTCTTGCTCTGCCGGTACCACCATTTACTCTTGCTCTGCCGGTACCACCATTGACTCTTACTCTGCCGATACCACCATTGACTTTTGCTCTGCCGGTACCACCATTGACTCTTGTTCTGCCGGTACCAACATTGTCTCTTGCTCTGCCGGTACCACCATTTACTCTTGTTCTGCCGGTACCAACATTGTCTCTTGCTCTGCCGGTACCACCATTTACTCTTGCTCAGCTGGTACCACCATTGACTCTTGTTCTGCTGGTACCATCATTGACTCTTGTTCTGCCGGTACCACCATTGACTCTTGCTCCGCCGGCACCACCATTGACTCTTGCTCTGCCCGTACCACCATTGCCTCTTGCTCTGCCGGTACCACCATTGACTCTTGTTCTGCCGGTATGACCATTGCCTCTTGCTCCGCTGGTACCACCATTGACTCTTGCTCTGCCAGTACCACCATTGACTCTTGCTCTGCCGGTACCACCATTTACTCTTGCTCTGCTTGTACCACCATTGACTCTTGCTCTGCCGGTACCACCATTGTCTCTTGCTCTGCTGGTACCACCATTTAATCTTGCTCTGCCGGTACCACCGTTGACTCTTGCTCTGCCGGTACCACCATTGACTCTTGCTCTGCCCGTACCACCATTTACTCTTGCCTTGCCGGTAACACCGTTGACTCTTGCTCTGCCGGTACCACCATTGACTCTTGCTCTGCCGGTACCACCATTGACTCTTGCTCTGCTGGTACCACCATTGACTCTTGCTCTGCCGGTACCACCATTGACTCTTGCTCTGCTGGTACCAGCATTGACTCTTGCTCTGCAGGTACCACCATTGACTCTTGCTCTGCCGGTATCACCATTGACTCTTGCTCTGCCGGTACCACCATTGACTCTTGCTCTGCCGGCACAATCATTGACTCTTGCTCTGCCAGTACCACCATTGACTCTTGCTCTGCCGGTACCACCATTGACTCTTGCTCTGCTAGTACCACCATTGACTCTTGCTCTGCCGGTACCACCATTTACTCTTGCTCTGCTTGTACCACCATTGACTCTTGCTCTGCCGGTACCACCATTGTCTCTTGCTCTGCTGGTACCACCATTTAATCTTGCTCTGCCGGTACCACCGTTGACTCTTGCTCTGCCGGTACCACCATTGACTCTTGCTCTGCCCGTACCACCATTTACTCTTGCCTTGCCGGTAACACCGTTGACTCTTGCTCTGCCGGTACCACCATTGACTCTTGCTCTGCCGGTACCACCATTGACTCTTGCTCTGCTGGTACCACCATTGACTCTTGCTCTGCCGGTACCACCATTGACTCTTGCTCTGCTGGTACCAGCATTGACTCTTGCTCTGCAGGTACCACCATTGACTCTTGCTCTGCCGGTATCACCATTGACTCTTGCTCTGCCGGTACCACCATTGACTCTTGCTCTGCCGGCACAATCATTGACTCTTGCTCTGCCAGTACCACCATTGACTCTTGCTCTGCTGGTACCACCATTGACTCTTGCTCTGCTAGTACCACCATTGACTCTTGCTCTGTTGGTACCACTTTTGACTCATGCCCTGTCAGTCCTACTATTGATTCTTGCTCTGGCAGCACCAACATTAACTCTTGCTATACCGATGCCACCACTGGCTTTTTCCTTGCTAGTACCACTGTTGACTCTTCCTCTGCCAATACCACCAGTAACTCTTGTTTTGCCAGTGTCACCATTGTCTCTTGCCTTGCCTGTACCATCATTGACTTTTGCACTGCCAGAGCCATTCTGGCTTACTCTGATGTTTATGGTCATATTTTTAATGCTTATTTTTACCCTAGTGTTAAATTATTATTTCATTTTTCATTTTTTGTTTGCTTTTGTAAACAAACTGCTTGGTTTCTTATAACGCTTGGCTTCAATTTGTTACATATGGTAACTCCAGTTTAAACCCCTATATTTTTGTTATGACTTCAACTGTCAGTAACTGTTTTTGTAGCACAATGATAGCGTTTTATAATTTACTTCTGAAACAAGAATATTTTAGCATAGATTTTAGTTTAATATTTGTAAAATGTGATGCTTGTAATACTGTTTTGTTGCTTTACATTGTGCCCAAATACACTCTTCACCATTATTATTTATTCACAATACAGCACGTAACTTATTGCCTACTTGTGCTGGTTTGTTGAATGCTTGATTCTGACTGGTTGATGAACATTCAAAGATGTGCTATTATTTACGTACAAACACACAGCTAAAGTAGCTCAGACAGGTTTTAAGTGCCTTACCGTTTATCACTACGCTGAATGGTTTCAGTTATTTCACAGCTGCTACAACAAGGCAAGGCAAGTTTATTTATATAGCACATTTCATACACAGTGGCAATTCAAAGTGCTTTACATAAACAGAAATAAAAAGAGAAGTTTAGGAACATAAAATGCAGACAATAAAAATTATTAAAAACAGATAAAAACAGTTTAAAATGAGTTAAAACAGGTTATAAAAGAATGAAAAAGAAAACGAAAAACATAATAGTGCAATCTGTCGGACGCAGCACAGTGCTCATTCAGTAAAGGCACAGCTAAACAGATGTGTGTTCAGTCTTGATTTGAATGTTCCTAATGTTGGAGCTCATCTGATTATTTCTGGAAGCTGATTCCAGCAGCGGGGGGCATAGTGGCTGAAAGCCGATTCACCCTGCTTTGACTGGACTCTTGGAACTTCTAGTTTTTATGATCCTAAAGATCTGAGTGATCTGTTAGGTTTGTATTCAGTGAGCATATCTGTAATGTATTGAGGTCCAAGGCCATTTAGTGATTTATAGACCAGTAATAATACTTTAAAATCTGTTCTGAATGTAACTGGCAGCCAGTGTAAAGACCTGAGGACAGGTGTGATGTGCTCTGATTTCCTGCTTCTGGTCAGAATTCTGGCTGCAGCATTCTGGATGAGCTGCAACTGCCTGACTGTCTTTTTGGGAAGGCCAGTGAGGAGTCCATTACAGTAATCCACCCTGCTGCTGATAAGAGCATGAACAAGTTTCTCTAAATCTTTACTGGAAACAAAGCATCTGATTCTTGCAATGTTTTTGAGATGATAGTATGCTGATTTACTGACTGCTTTGACATGACTCAGTCAATAATCATATCAAAACAAAAAAACAAAAGGCTTTGGATAACTTTAATCTTCCTCTTCTTTGTGAGCCCTCATTTCTATGTCTGGCCAGAGGAATATGTGTTAACACTTTTTAAGGAATTTGTGTTACACTTCAGCTATTCATTTAACTACCGAGTAGTAATAATAAACTTACTATGTGGTTAAGGTTAGAGTGTGAATTATGTTTAGTTGCATGTAATCATGCATAATTAATTGTAAATACAAAAGTAAGTACATGGAGCATGTGTAACAACACCTTAAAGCATTACCAAACATTAAAAAAACACACTCAGTCACAGTCAGCAGATTCATCAGGAACATTAGATGCGTTTATTTCAAATTATGAGTCCAGATCATCAGAACAGTAAGAAAAGTGTGGTTGAATGAGATTAAACAATAATTGAGACATTCACTGTGTTAGTTCTAGTATTTACTGTAATATCTTCAATCACTAAGCTACGAGGTGATTCTTTTGCAAGAGGCTGCTGGTCAATATGCAGTTCATACAAGCACGATCTGATAATATCGGAGCCTCATAAATCATTGACATTTAAAATGTAGGAATCATAATTTGAGAGTAAACAAAAGCACCTGTTAGTCATTAAACCAGAGTGCGAGTAAGAGTATGCGTGTACGTTTGCGTGTGAGTGAAAGTGTGTGTGTACCATGTATTCATCACACTGTGAGGACCAAATGTCCCCACAAGTATTCCAATATCTGTAAATGTTGATGTAGGGACGTTTTTTTTTGTCAGCATGTAGAAAACAGCCATTGAATCACACAGAATGAAGTATTTCGAAAATGTGAAAGTATAGACTGTTTCCTGTGAGGGCTGGTTTTAGAGCTAGGCTTAGGATAAGGGGATATAATATACAGTCTGTACAGTATGAAAAT